GACCGGCTTTAAAGGGTTAAACAAATATCCGTACTTTCTGCTCCTTACATTTGAAAACAGGCTCGTTACTTTTGATTGGACGGTTTTGAGGTGATTTATTATTTTGTCGCTGCGAAGCTTCAAACATCAAACTGATTTAAACCGGAACAGCGCGTGGCAGAGTCCGGGCTGCCAGGCTGTCGTAAAGCTTTTCACTGTTCCTCGTCTTTCCCTGGTGGCTCCACCCCCAGCATACCTGTCAGCACCTGCAGCTCAGCCACCAGCTGCTGGTTACAGCGGTATCTTCCATGATCCGACTCCTCCAGATGCAGGACGCAGAGGCCGCCATTAACCATGAGGAGGTAGCGCCGGCGGTCCTTGTTGGTCTCGTAGCCGCCCCGTCGGGTCACCAGGACCTCCTGATCCTGCAGAGTCCAGATCACGTCTGAGCTGCCGCACGGCAGACAGAGGTGGTGATTCTCAGGGACCGAAAACCAGATCGCTGCCGGGGCAGAGGACAGGGTCACACATCTGAAACCGTCGAGCTCAAGCAGCACAAATGTAGCTGCAGGTCCTCTAACGTGACTGAACTCAGGACACAGGTGAGCTCACCTGGTTAAGTTGCATTAAGGCTTAACATGGTTAATGTGAGGTTAATAAAACACTTTCTCATTGGTAACTTGGAGCTGGTCTCACTTCTGCCTGAAAGACGTGAAGACGACGACGTCCACAACACGTAAAAACAGGGTCAAGGTTCAAATGTTGCTGTGGCCATCTTTTATATACAGTCTTGTGCAGGTTTAGTTATCCGTCTTCTAAATTTAGCTGAACACTCACATCCTGCTGAGGCTCCGGCTTCAGTTTACTTCCTCTTTTATCTCATGGAAACACGTCTGTGTCTAAATTTACAACGTTGCTGGAAACACACAAACAGTTTCATCGAGCACGATGGCGAGCGCTGTCGTCTCTGTCAGAGGAAATCTACACTCACTGACTTTAAACACGCATCAAGTTCTGACTGTGGACTTATGACGTTTTCATCTTCAACTTATTTTGCACCAATAAAGAAATAATCATCAACACTTTTATAACAGCATGTGAGTCATTTCAGTAAATCAAAATGTTTTTATGTTCGATTACATCAAGTTTGCAAACATGGAAACAACAACTGTGCAAAAGGAAACTGAGGCGAACTTTAACCCGACTCATAAATAAGAACGACTGTTCAGCGTTCCCTGAAAGTGTGACGAGACAGAACGACGGGAGGTTTTTGTACCTGTGGAGTTTTCCGTGCAGCCGATCAGACCTGAGAGCAGGAACCAGACGTGACAGGAGAACATGTTCAGGAACAAACGTGGAGCTGCCGACGCGCCTCCAGCCCGTCTGTCCCTGCACCGCTCTTCCTCTCCTTCCTCGTCCTCGGTGACTCAGGGAGCGTCAGCAGCCTGGAAAATAAAGAGGCGTGTTCCCGCTGCAGGTCTGCTGTGTCACATGGATCTGATGAGGAGCTGGAAGCTCTCAGATGAAGAAGATTTGACTCGCTGAGATTTTAATCGGATATTTCTTTGTTCCTCTGAATGTTTGTGTGAAAGTCAAACAAAAGGTAAACACGATGACATCATTGCTTTGTTTTATTAACCAGCACAACGAATATTAATTTGATTTGACTGATTTCCAAGAATCAAAATGATTTTGAACGTGAAACATGTCGCAGAAGCTCGCAGCAGGAGGAGGAGGAGGTTTGATCCTGAGGATTTCCTGCAATTAGAGAAAAGTCACATGATGAAGGTGAGAAAACACCTGTGACTCTGTGACGTCGTCACCTGCAGAGTGGAATCAAAGACTAATGCAGGGAAACATCTTCCTCAGGCTGTCGGTGCAGCTCGATCACACCATAAACACACGCCTGCTCGAGATGCTGCAGGACACGCGTGAATATTTCATTATATCCTCAAACATCTCTGAGGCTTTACCAGAGCTGGAGGATGATGGATGAATACGTGACATCACCCTGATGAGATCCACCTTTAGGGAAAAACAAGGTTTTGTTCACTCAACAGTTTTGTCTTTTTCCTTTTTCCATGGAAAAGAGAAAAATACTGGAAAAGCTGGAATTTCATTGACTCTGCCTGATGGATCAACTTTAGTCTCTGTGTGACACACGTGGAGATAAATAACTTCAGAGGTTCACACTGTAACGTTTTCTGGGTCATTTCCTTCCTTTAACGTAAGAATGACACTGACGTCACGTGTCCCTGTGAGGACACCTGCCTCAAAGCTCCCAGCATCTTAAACTGGTTTCCTGAGGTTTCCAGTTTAACGTTAGCACAAGTTTAAAGTGTCTCATCACAACATCGTTCTGTGAAACAACAGGATCAATGATCAGTGATGAAGGATCAGCAGGGTCAGACTTTCTGTGACAAACTCAACTGTTTTCTAATTCATCTCCTTCATTCATTTCTTTTATTTCTACATCTCCACGTGATGAAGAGGAGGGTGAGCGTGATGAAGACGACGGGGACAGCACCCAGAACCAGCTGCTGCTCAGAATGAGCCCGGGAAGAAGACACAGTGACGCAGCTCAGATCAACGTGACGCACCTGAAAGCACCACAGAACCAGCAGCTCTCCTCAGCCACTCGTGAAGCTTGTTACTGATGAACCTGATATTAAAGAATAAACGTGAAACGCTTTAAATCAAAGCTTTTATTCATGTGTTCATGAAATGAATCAACTGCACTCAGAAACCTTCTCAGGCCAACATTTGTTATCTTACAAGCTTTTGTCTTTATAATTATGTCTAAAAGGATTTTTATCACTTTCACCTTCAATCTACTGACTTTGGAGGAAAGGTCAGAGGTCAAACACACTACAGCACACTGTAAGAATCAAAGTTTTTAGCTTTTTGTCAATTTTCCACCGATGAAGCATGAACCTCGAACACGTCGATGGACGGAGGACAGATTTCAGACTCCGCCCCCCACCGCAGCCACCCTGAGCTGGACGAGTGGGTGGATGTGACCACGAGCTCTGCACCTCAGCACAGATTGGTCAGAATTTATTTAAGCTTTTTAGCGTCAGTGTTTAAAGACAGACACACTAACAAAAGCCTCCTGGGTCGATTTCATCAGCTACAGTTTCACAATAATACAGAATAATCATACATATACATGTTGTTCCCATAAACATCTGTGCTGAGTCAGGTTGCTCCTGACAGCAGAACCTTCAGGTGAAACTACGCCGGCCTGCTTCTTGATGCTTTGGGCTTCTGCAGTAAGACATACGTGTTGTTGACGAGCTGTGAAGAACCTGTGGATCATAAAAACCATCAGTCTGAGTGGGTTGTGTGTAACAAACACACCTGTGCAGGTGCTGATCATTAAACTTAGAGGCAGCTCAGGTGTTACCGGTCGTGTTTCCAGTCTGTGGCAGCTCAGCGATGGTGTCGTACGTGGGATCGCTGTGGTTTGATCCTCCTGTCAACAAAAAGTCTCAGTAAGAGTTTGACGTCACTCTGCTGTTTCACTGTTGATGAGGTTCAGAAAGTCATCCATATGGACGGATTCTTATGCAGCACTTTGGGGATCGAACCACCGACCTCCCAATCAGCAGAGGACCTGCTCCGCCTCCTGAGCTACAGCCAACCCAAACTTTCCAACTTCAATCGGCTTAATTACAGAATGAACTAAAAGACGACGATGGAGTAAAAATAATAATATAACAAACAGCTACGATCAGCTTTACAAGATTTCAGTGCAGTTTTCAGTTTAAAATATTATCTACATAACATCTAAAAAATAAATGATTTAAGTGGCTGCTCCATCAGGCAGTGTGCAGGTCGTAGTCGAGCTCCTGAGAACAAACACTGGATTCATTCAAACGATCAAACTACATGATGAGCCTCAGTCACAGCTGCTTCACTCTCACCGTTTATCAGATGAAGTCCAGCTGGTATCTCATCATAGACGTGCAGCTCTTTGTCAGTCCCTGCAGACAGAGCAGAGTCAGCTCCTCCTTTAAAGTTTAAAACACGCTGCCTGTGAAGCTGTGAAAATGAAAGTGAAGCTAAACCGGACTGTGGCTGCTTATGAAGCTTTTACTGTTAAACTGAGTTTAGGAAATACTGACCGCTGACCTTTCACCTCACATGCTTACAGTGACCAACCTGCTCTCACCTGGAAGGTGTCAGAACACAGGCTGTTCTGTTTGCACCAGAATGAAGTCGACAGGATGTAAAATCAACAGTGAGGCAGAATAAATCATTTTAGGTTTGGAGTTAACAGTAATATTATATAAGTGCTGTATACTCATTTAAAATTAAAGATTAAAGATTCATTTGTAGAAAAGAAACTGTAACCTTTGAACTTGTGTTAGCTTTATTGTTAGCTAAGCTGCTAACAGCAGACGCTAATTATTTTATTTTATTACTTTATTCACATCTTCACTCACCGAATGGAATCTGTGCACAGAGGTGAACACGCAGTAGTAAAACACAGCTAACTGAA